ACACACACACACACACACACACACACACACACACACACACACACACACACACACACAAAACAAGTGCTCAGCCGTCAACTAAAACTAATTTGTGACATTTACTTTTAGTCTTTTTTAGACCCTGTTTTACTTCTTTTTAATCCTGCAAAGCTCTTGGAGTTACACATGCTAAATAAAAATCCTATAAAAGAAAAAGCTATAGCTTTATTGCCTCTGCGTTACAGCAGAGCAGCGCAGACGAGAACATTTGTGTGCATACTTGTGCTTCTCTGAAACAAGCTCAAACTCCTCTTCCAGGAAGCAAACATTCCCTGCTGCTTTTATTCATCATCAATGTTAAACTGTAGGCTAAGCAGCGCCTCCACTCAGCTGGGCTTCATCAGAACAAGGAGCTTAGGCATTGAAGTGACACAGAAAAACATGTTGTTTGTATGGTGGAAAAAAAGATGCTGTAAATGTTGAAGTTAATATTTTAATGGGGATAAATGAGAGGGAAAGATGCTCCGCATGAATACCAAATCAAAGATGTTATTATTATTTATTTTTTTTATTACATAAGGGATAAGCTTCCTGCAGAGCATCTCAGGCAAAGCCTTTTGACTTTTTTCTATAGGCTATAACTATTAAAAAACAACATGCACATGTCTGCTTAGTCTATTTGGCTTCAGCTGTGAGAAATGACAAATCAATATCTTATTCCAGAACAGGTATTTGCTTTGTGTGAGAGGGGGGAAAATAACACTGGAGCCCATTCCACCCAGACAAAGTATACACTCTGAGTCACAGTGTGAATAAACTGTCTGATTAAATCCAGTTCTCTCTGCCTGCAGTGGGTGGAAAGAACAGGGCGAATCATCATTTATTCCTGTTATTTATTCTTACCACCCAGGTGAAACTGCTGTAGAAAAGAAGAATGCACAATCTATCCACCTCTAAGCTCCTTTACGACGCCATTATGAGATAAATCTGTACGCTATTCAGTTTTGTTCTTGAGAAGATGCACAACTCAAGAATTACAGCTGAAACGTGTTAATAAAACGATCCACGCAAACGTGTTCTCGTTTCAGCTCCACGTACGCCGCCTTTGAAATCAGCTTGCATTTAATTATTGCACCACAGATAGAGCAGATTCTGCACCGAACATGAGAACGAACTTAGTTTGCCGCTGATCAAGCACAATCCCACTCCCACCCCTGTGCTTTTCAGGCCCCATCACACTCTCTGTCAAGTGGTAAACTCCACTTGTGTGTGTGGATGGTGTAATAGCTCACACACTCGACACTGCTGATGGAGAATAATGCATTTTCTGTATGAGCTGCTCTGACTCTATTCCACAGACCTCTGCACCTGGAAAATTGGGATTTCCCCCCCTTAAAAGAGTGTGTATGTGTGTGTGTTTATTAATGCATATATACAATTCTTAAGTGCACCAGCGCAACAACTTATCCTCTTTTTTTTTCTTTGCTGTAACAATCGAATTAGATTTACATGGAAAATCAGTGACGAGAGAAATCGCTCTATTTTTATTCACTGTCTTTAGCACTGAAAACCAAAAGGGATGCTTTATATGGATCAGAAAGTGCTCCACACAGTGTGACACAACGCAAACAGGGACTTTTACATTTAACCAAAGACACAAATGCTAAAAAAGACTTTAATGTCTGAATGAGTTTTTACTTCACCAATATCCGGGGTGGTTATTAACTACAGTTACTCAGTTATATTATATCTACTTAAGTAATATAAAAATTAAAGTAAAATTTGGAATACTCTACCCACTATTATTTCTTGGATGGCTAATTTTTAGTTTTACTTGAGTAAACGTATGCTGAAGTAGTGCTACTTTTACATGAGCACAATTTTTGGGTACTCTACCCACCTCTGACCTACACACTGAACACTACTGGGCTATTGTAATATCTCAGTTACTGGTTTAAGGTTGTTGGGTCAATATGGAGTCAAAAGGTTTGACCCAAATGTTGGGTTGAAGATGAACTGCGCCATTCTTCACATTCCACCGTTTAAACCTAGCAGTTGACCAAATCAGACCTCTGCTTTAGGATGCAACAAGCAGAGGTAAAAGTGTAAAAATCAACTTGTAAGAAGATAGTAACTTGGGTGATATTAACTTTAGAACAAAAACAAGGAGTTTTAGTGAAAATAATATTATTTGGTTCTTGCTAGCTGACACTAAATTAGCACCACTTTGCACACCTAAACTGCAATTATAATTACTTCGATTTTGGAGTGGTTTTTTTCAACTCAACTTTTCATTAGCGCTAATTTTAAAAACGGTCATTTTAATCCAGTTTTGTGGTAAAAAAATAAACTTGGTGTGCTGGGTTAAAAGGAAACATTAAACATTATTAATGTCAAAGGTAACCCAAAAGAACAGTAGTTCAGTTCTTTTAGGAACCTCAGAGTCAGAGGTCACCATCAGGAGAGTGCTCCTTTATGCTCGGGTAAGAACGTTATACCCGATAGTGCCTTAATGCTTGCAATAGCGTGTTATGACCTCTAAATAACAGCTCTTAATTGGGGATGGGGGTGTATTAGGACCTTTTTAAGGTTTATATCATGTTATAACGTCATTCATACCCAGGGTGTTGCTTTGACTCATTCGTGCATGTTTAAGAAATCTTTGAAATCCATGTGGCGCTGCCTAAGCACCACTTTGTACAAAGCTCCTCTCTGGAGCTCAGTTTGCAGCCGAGCTCCCGCTCCACAAAGCACCCCTTCCCCGAAAGCATTGTTGTGAAAATGTTTGGAAGTGGGAGTGTCTGAAATAGTAGGAGGTTCTTATAGAGACAGAGGCTAGTTTCAAGGCATTTATAGACTGTTATGCAAAGTCAAATTTATTTTTTGATACAGTATATTGTTATTTTCATTACAACTGAAGGAAACAAAGTTACTTGATTGTGGTATGAGATGAGCAACCTCAACATATCCCTTTCACTTTAGATAGAAACCAAAGTGCAAGCTAAGCTGCATAAAGCCTGCTGTGCTGCAGCCACAAAGTTCATTGTTTAGCTGCAGCGGACGGAAGGTGTTTCTGTCGCCTTCAGTATGATAAAAAAAGCTTTCAGCTATCACTGAGG